GAACACTACAGAATAAAGAAATATGATCATCATTACTAAACATAACTATCTATTGTTATGGGGATATTTTATTATCTTTCTCACATGAATCTTTGCAGGGCAGTCACATTTTTTGGTGTCTTGGACTATAAACCGGTGCTTGATGTAGTGGTAGCTATGATCAGGAACATTCTCCTGAAACAGTTATGATAATATCTAATTGATTAGAAAAATATTACCAACTTACTTGATTTCCTGTCTGGAATTTTCGAAAAGGAAAATGAACTAAAAAAGTTTGTATGAAGTACCAGTAAGTGGATGGGATGGGTATGTTAAGAGAAGAGGGTCCTGCACTGTCCAATATTTCCATTGAGCCATCAAACTATTTTCTCTTTTCCTATGGCTTGAGTATTAGTAGCAATATATATCTGTCTGATTTCATTAAAATGTAGGCACTAGGTTTTTGCCTGCAGTCCGGGGGCTGCCCTAACAGTGGGTGGGTGAATCAGACCAGGGGGTCAAAACTAGTGGGGTAGGAGGGGGCTGTTTTGACACAAACCCTCCAGTAGTGTTCAGTAGAGGTTTTGACTGGCAACTACCTTTTTCTTAATTTGCCCTAGCCAGCTGAATCAGGCCTCTGCTGAGAATGATTATCATGATAATTGCAGAGCTCAGTGGGAAGTGTGGACAGTCACCCATTGTCCTGGGTGGGGAGGGTCAAGTCAAAGTCTTGATACCAAGGACACACTTAGCATAGGACCTGTAGGGCTCCGACCTGTAGACACTCACTAAAGCCATGTTTTCATAAATTCAGTCAGATATCAAACACCTGAAAAAGGATTTTGTCGGTGAAGAACATACAATACGTTTTATTTCTTTGAGGGTGTAAAGGTTTGGGATTGGAGTATGGGGCAAGGTAAAGTTTGGACATGCATTATAGACCCGCTGTATATATGTTAGTAATTTTATCTTGCTTAAACAAAGGATCCTCTTGTGCAATATATAGGCCGAGGGTATTTCCCTTGAACCATAAGGGGGTGCTATGCAGAAAGACCTTAACTACCGGAAGGCTTTTGACTGAGATCTCCCCTTATGCCACTTGGTCAAGTACCCTCCCCTGCATTGTGCTGGTGCTTACATCCTCTTGCATTTTCTTTTTAGCTTCTTTTCGTTTTAGTGCCTTGTTTCGGTCTGGTCCATTTTGGCATTCCAGGATCTTTACACCAACAATTTGAAATGGAATACCATCAAACCTCAGACTGCAGCCTGCCATTTTCTGCGAGTCAGCCCATTGAATTTTGTGATTTTTTGGCTTTTGAGTCTCTCCTTTGTGGCCTGGATTAAAGAATAACGATGGTCGACAAACGTGATTCTTAAACTGTAAACTCGTGGAAAATAAAAATGAGGACACTTGTACAAAATGCTTACCATTGTTGGAAAATCCCCCTGTCTTTTTAAATATCATCGGGTAGTAGTGGCAATTTCATACGCTTTAATAAGCTCCTCTGCTCTTTTTTCGTCCTCTACGTATCCCGAATAAGGATCGAAAGCGACTGAGAATAGAGATGCCCACGGTGTATGGGCTTTTTCTTCTCTCGCCATTGTCCTTCTCAGAGGACAATTCTCTCAGAAAATTTTAGATTTCGCGCCAAATGTTGACACCTGGGCCGAGTTGTTCAAAGCTGGGTTAAGATAACCCAGGGTTAGTGCGAGATTTGAATTCAGATTTGAAAGCTTAAAAAGCATTTCAGTTTTAATTCTTTTTATCTACAAGTTGATAATTGGAAGCTCTAAAAATAACTTAGAAAATTATCCGAGAAAATGCTTTTGAACACACACAAAAAAAAGAAACCCGGGTTGCATTTAACCCCGGGTTAAGTGCTAATCGGCCTTCCAACAACTGGGCCCTGATTGTTAACACAGGAAAAAATAACAGATTCCCATTTTTGGATATTTTAGGGTATTTAAAGAATAACCACAAAAATCTCAAATTTGGAAGAGTGAGACAAGTTCCAATCAGGGAACTTGGTTGGGAATTCCCTTGTTGGGACTTGTCTCACTTTGCCAAATTTGGGATTTTTGTGGGAATTCTTCAAATATCCTAAAATATCCAATATTGGGAATCTGTTATTTTTTCCTGTGATAAAGTAGAACTTTACTAATAATTTTCCGAACTTTTTAAACTTTCTAAGCTGAAAGTCGAAAAAGCTGAAATACAACTGTTTGAGACCCTAAGGAATTTATTATTCAAAAGTTGAATCCGTTGCTAGTTGTAGATTTCAGATTGATCTCTGCATTCTTGTATGTGTAATGAGCCGTGAATTCACACGCGAGGCAGTTATGAAATTTCTACCAGCTCCATTTTCGATAAGTTTAGATTTTCGGGAAAAACCGAGACAATATTTCAGATTGGCGGGCTGTTGCGGCCTAGTGTTCTGAAAACCGTCCCCCGGATTTGAGATTCGAATATTCTTAAACTCGGAGAATTCGTCTATTCAAGACCAAACCTTTTTTTAGAATTGCTTTTGCAACAAATGCAAATAGTTTTTTGGAATATCCTTTGATAACTGACCCCGGGGGGCCGGGGTACTCCCTATAATGGCCTATACAGTAAGGCTCCTCCCGAAAAGGGTACCTTTTTCAGGCTTCAGGTATATACAAGGGTGGGGATTTTAATCGTTGAAGTATATGAAAGGGTAGGGAAATCTGTCATTTGGGTCTGTGGAAAGGGCCTAAAGGGCCGAACAGACGAATTTTATGGCTTTATAGAGTCGGGAAAACGTCCTAAGGAACATCAAAAATGTTGTCGGCAATTTTGTAACTTGCACCGATGGCCACAAGAGTGGATTTAAAATGTGACGTTTGTGTTCTAGCATGGAAACGAGGCTGGAGCTTAAAGTACCTGAAAAACATCTTTAATGACAACAGATTGTTATCAGAATTTCTCCTATAACACATAACAGTGTATCTGACTTGAAAATGTATCTGTTAACCAATTAATGTGCTCACGTGACCACAATGGCGTGGAAACGAGGCTCCACTTTAAAGTACTTGAAAACCATCTTCAATGACAACAGATGAAGAGGCTTGAGCTTAAAACTCCATTTGGCAACCACTAATAGCACGTAGTCAATACAGAAAAAATTAAACACCTATTAAAGTGCCTTTCAGGTTATGTAGAACCGACCAAGCTTTTACAGAATCCTGGAAACGAGGCTGCATCATAAAAATTCTTTTAAGCTTTTTTAAAGATACGTTCCAATGGGCCATTTGCACGATGGCGCCATTTTACTACTACGACCAGAATTCTTTTCGTTTTTCCTTTCATTTGTAAATTTGGTAGCCCCAGTGAGGTTTAAATAACAAAAGCCTTAATTTGCGCAAGAAAGCAAAACCCTGAAGGATCCTGGTTATAGTAGTAAAATGACGCCACCATGCAAATGGCCTATGACCTACACAAAACAATGAAAGTGGGATTTCCTCACTACCAGGGCCAGACATTCATGCCAAGATGTTCTAGTTATCACCCTCCTCCTCGAAGTCATCGTCATTAACATCATCATCATGGTTAGAGTTTTCTTAATCCCTGTCAGCAATGTTATCACAAAGCTCATCTCCACCATTAATGCAGCTGCAAAGACCACTGCATTTACTGCCGACCTTTCGAGACTGAGATCAATCTCTTTAGCAGAGCCCGGCTTAACTGGATGGGGAACTGCGTCTGCTGCCGGTTGTAGTCATGTCATTACTGGAACCCATTCACCTTTAAAGAAATCCAGTTTCTACTTAGCTTCATTGTCACAACGTCTTAAATACGTTGGTTTAACATCCAAGTAAAATGCCTTTGTCCATTTAACTTCCAAAGGAGACATCACTGTTTACAAACATTACTCAAATTTGTAACGAGGGAAACAAAAGAACCAATGCGCTTCTGTTTAGCGTTATTATGTAATATAATCGACCGTTGGATGTCTTGTAACAAACTTAAGTTGAATTGGGACAAGACGGAACTGCTCGTTATCAGTTCAAAATATCGGCCACGTCCATCTTTAGATAGTATCCTGGTTGGTGATCATCGTGTAGAGCGGTCTGACAAAGCTAGGAACATAGGAGTTGTTTTTGATGAGACCTTGTCACTGGATAAGCATGTGAGTTCCGTTTGTAAATCTGCTTTATTTCATCTTCGGAATATCGCGAAGATTAGAATGTATCTGACTTCCGAGAGCACAAAGACCCTCGTCCATGCTTATGTTACTTGTCGACTGGACAATTGTAACTCGTTGCTCCTCGGGTCACCGGAGTATATTATTCAGAAGCTCCAGCGCGTTCAAAACTGCGCTGCACGCCTTGTAGCTGGGCAACCTAGGGCTGCGCACATTCGCCTCGTCCTTAAGGAGCTACACTGGTTACCTGTGGAGCAGCGAATTACCTTTAAAGTATTACTGTTAACTTTTAAAGCTCTCAATAACCTGGCGCCTCCGTATTTAAGTCAACTTATAGTCCCATATAACCCTACAAGAAATCTTAGGTCAGCTAGCAAACATTTATTAGAAGTACCGAGTGTGCGCCTGAAGAGCTATGGAGACAGGGCCTTTTCGGTCGCTGCCCCAAAGCACTGGAATGGTATTCCCTTAGACATTAAATTAAGTGGATCAGTTGATGTTTTTAAATCTAGATTGAAAACTTATCTTTTTAGACTCGCTTTCAGTTGACTTTTTGTTTTGGTGCTATTGTTAGTTATTTTCTTTTTTGATTGTAAAGCGATATAGAGCTTTTGTTTATACCGCTATACAAATAAAGTTATTATTATTATTATTATTATTAATATCAAAAGGTGACTTCAGCTTGATTATCGCTGTAGGTTTGGGTGACGGCAGCTCCGGGTTTGGTACCTAACCTTGCTCGCAATTTGGCCTCTTCAATTTTTTGGAGGAAGTCTTTCAGACTGGCCTTCCCTCTTTCGGGTAGATCGGTAATCATCCCAGCAGTTCTTTCACACTAGAAATACAAGTCTTTGGCTGCTACAGCTGGCAGACTAACTTCTCAATTACAGCAACGGCTCTTGATGTAGGCTTCGCAGTTGTCCCCAGATCCGCAAGTGTAATAGACAGCTTCAAGAAAGGCTTTCCAACAGGCCAGCTTTCCTCTAGACGCGAAGCTTCCCGGTATAGTATCTGTTCCACTGCTCCACTGTCTTTATCTTTAAGGAGAATGCCCCATCCCACCTAAAAAAAACTATTACTGTCACTTTAACTACTGACAGCGATCAAACTGCTTTTATAAAAACTGGCATACAAATCCTCTTTAGTGTAACCTTCGATGTTTCTTCCTGTATCAAGCTTTTCAAGAATGTCCAGTAAGGTGCTCTTTAAGGAACCGTGAAGCATAGTACCATCCGCGGCAAACATCGACCTTGGCACGATTGAGAACTCCTACTCAGCCCAACAGCAAACTTGATGTCATTCTCAGGGCTTACCTCACAAGCCTGATATACTCATAGCAACATGGAGCGATTCGCCAGCAGAAGATGTGCTAACGTTGTGTAGAGTTTCTCGGATCCTCCTCCTTATTTCCGGAGGGAAGGGTTTTTCCTTATGTGGCCTATACAGGGATGTGCCGCTCGACAAGGCATTGTTTGTGTGACGTCAGGATTTTAATTCACCTGCGGAAAGTATAAAACGGCAAACTGATCCTTACCTCAAGGCGATGAAGAAGTAAAAAAAGGAATAAACCAAAAAATATATATTTAAACAAATTTGCCCAACATTTCGGTTTGAAAGACAAACCTTCAGGGGCTAAAAGAAAGGGCCAGCCCCTAAAGAACTTTTGTCTTTCAAACCGAAACATTGGGCAAATTCGTTTAAAGATATATTTTTTGTTTTATTCTTTTGTTTACTTCTTCATATACTTGCCGTTAGGATCAGTTTGCCGTTTTATATAAAAGTTATTATGGTACTGATCCAGGTCTACAACGGGGAGATCCGGCACCACTCGATGTTTTGTCGCAGTAAACTTTCTGATATTTTATATTTTAATTCACCCGCTAGCAAAGGTCTCGCATATCGTGAACATTGTCCCCTCGTCCACCGGGTGTGCAGGTAACTTGAACCGCAAGGCCAGGATCGCTAAGGTCAGATTTCCAACGGCCATGCACGGAACTTCGTGGCAAAGCATCGTCGACGGTCTTCGATGGAAAAGAGTCCTTAGTTACATGAATTATGCGAGCTGAAATTTGCGCTCTGTGATCGCTTTGGTCCAATGGAGGGAAGCAGTAGTTAGAGGAGGATTGTATCCTGCCCTGGGTTAAATCTAAAGGCGATTGAAGTATTTGGAGTGAACTTACAGCTGATTTCCTGTGGTTGATACGTGAGAACTCCGCTCGAGCAAGTAACCAACCTTGGGTAATATTAACAAATTTATAGAGATTTACAGAGAGAACAACGGAAGATCTAAAACTCGCTGGAATGACGCTGAAACAGCCAAAAATGCTAAGAAAACACCAAAAATTTATATCAGGAGACAAATAAGAATTTCTAATGTCTTTTTCTTGCCATTTGTGACCCCTAAATAACGATCGCGAAAATCCTCATAAACCTTTTAATATTTCTGTTGTGCAACAACGATTCTCACTCGTGAGCTTGGGGTACCTGTGGTTATGTTTCGCGTCACATATATCTTCTAAATTGATACCAATAAGTCTATTCCTAGCTGTTTAAGTCCTGATAATGTCAAGATTACATATTTTGTAAATCTGGGGAAATTTCGTAAGCTTCCACTAGCTTCCAAAAACGTTGTGCGACATTTTAACTTCCAATCTCGTTTCCGTGCCATAATGGTCACGTGAACAGTTTAATTGCTTACCAGATACGTTTTCAAGTCAGATAAATCATTATGTGTTAAATGAATAATTCTGGTAGCAATCTGTTGCCATTAACGATTGTTTTCATGTACTTTAAGTCCCAGCCTAGTTTCCATGCTAGAAGATAAACGTCACATTTGAAATCCACCCTTGTGGCCATCGGTACAAGTTACAAAATTGCCGACATCATTTTTTATGTTCCTTAGAGCCCCCTTAACACATCTAGATAGGTGGCTTGCTTTTTTCACAAAAATCCCACGGAACTTTATTTCTTGACATATGCTCCCAGACTAATTTACAGCAGTTAAAAGGGATGCAAAGTTCTAAACGAGGTATATGAAAGGGGTATCATTTGTCAATAGAAGGTATACGATAGGGGTACCTTTTTCGTGAAAAATGGTATATAAAAGGGTAAGGGGGTTGGAGCTCGGGGCGGAACCTCTCCGTATAAACATTTGTTGAGTATCCCCCCCCCCGGCTAACTGACTAAGTGCATCACGCCGGTGAAGTGTTGAAAACAATGAGATTTCACAATATGCCTAAAGTCGACGATTGAGTGTACTTCGAACCCAAGGCAATGTTTGAAATCACTTGAGATGTTTAAAGAAACATTTTATGTTTTTAATTCTTTAAAAACATTTCCCAGCTGCCTGGTCACTTCAAAACAAAACACAACGTACTCTGCTTTCTTTCCGGATTTCTCGCATTTATTATGCGACTCAGATCACTTTTTTAGAGATCCTTGAGTCCCTCTTACATTTAGTGTGGTATCGAACTCGGCCAAGCGCGATGCAAACGGATTTTTCAAGGCTCTCTTGCTCTCCTCGCATCTTCTGAATTCGCGACATCCTGTCAGAAAATCAAAGTTTGGTACATGCGCAGTAACCGGATACTGCGCCTTAAATATTACGAGGGTTGCACAACAATACCGAGGCGCATATTTCGAGCTAAGCCTGGTTTTCCTTTTGATCGCTGAAAAAAAAAAGTTCGGTGATCGTAGCGATCATATGGAAACCACTCTCCAGCGATCGTAGCGACCCGCTGAGATAGGACTTTCAGCGATCGTTGTCGCTGCTATCGCTACGATTGTAGAGAATGGTTTCCATATGATCGCTACGATCGCTGTTTTTTTTTTTTCAGCGATCGTATGGAAACAGGGCTTTCGGCTCCCTTGCAAAAATAAAAATGACAACAGAACCGGCCAACAGTGAAGATCCCAGTCACGCCACGTCAATTGAGATCAGTAGGTCCTCAGCTCCGGCGAAAGCCCACTAATCTCAGTCATCACAACACAGACCGTTTCCTCTCCACAGTTAGCACGGCGCTGCCGAGTCGAGCCAGCGGTGCACCAATACCGACCCGACAAATAACTGCATGGGGTTAGCTTGGTATTTATTTGTGAGACATCCACCGACACCTCACTTATGGTAGCCTAACTAAATTAATTATTTACAGTTACAGAAAACACGTAGTAATTACAACAAAGACAAGCTCAAATAAAACTCGATCAGTTATTAGAATAGTGGCGCCACCAGAAAGTGTGGCAATTTACATTTAATAATTAATATTTGGTTAATTAGTAAGAAATACACAAACGCATGCGCATCTGGGGCCAGTTGCAGAAATCTGCAAAACTAGGCAGGCAAAAGGCAAAATCGATCAAAAGGTGTTAACTTTTAATCATTAATTTCAATTAAATCAAGGGTTGTGATTGGCTGAAATCCAAAAATTGCCGAAAAAACATCGAGAAACATGACAAAAGCAACTTTTTTAGTTTTATTTTCCCCATTCTCCTGTCTTTTATCTCACGGCCAAGTTTAGGCATTGTTCTATGCGCCAATCAGAAGTTAGAGCTGAAAACGCGCATCACGCGCGTGACCTTGTTGTGAACGATCTTGGATGCATTATTTGAGATATGAGGAAAATTTGTCTTTTACCCGAAGAAAGATCGTCAATTTCATCGCTGAAATTTACATATTTCCCTTAATCGATTGTTTATTGCTTTTATTCAATGTATTTTATCATCGGAGTGATCGTGAAATTCCTACTGCAGCAGCGTTTGCAGCTGTCCTCAACATGTCGTCGAGTGGCCATAGGACCGAAGCAGTAGGCCGTAGGACCGAAGCAGTTGTTAATGTTGTCAGGAGGAGATCACTTCGATTCAGCGATAATTCAGAGTAATTGTGGAGAATAGCTGGGAACAAAGAGTGGAAGCGATAGATTTGTTCTTTATACAGAAATAAATTAAATCTCTTAACCCAATACATTTTCGCATCTCTGCATGATGTGACTGTGTTGTTATTTTGTCCTTTTCGAAACGTCAGTATTCTGTGTATCTTTACTCTTCTCTGATTCGACTTGTTTTCTTTCTAGACTGTTTCGTTGAGCTAAGTGCAACTTAAGACGAACGAATGGAAATTTCTGATTGTAACACAGTTGTAAGACGGCCGCCGCTTAGTTATCACATATGTTACAAATGTAGCTCTCACTAGTTTTGAGTGTTACCCGGTACGAAAGATCATGCAAGTTTGACTGTAACTGTTGCCTTTACTTTTTCTAAGAATGAAAGTAGGTTTTGCGGAGTGTGCAGAAATTTTTAGACTAGTAATCTATCTACCATGTAAGACTGCAAAGAGAGCTTCTTCTGAAACCGAATTCTCCGAACATCCATGAATTTTTTTCCTGTATGGACAATTGTCCTTTCATTCAAGCGCGGACCGTTAGGATAACCCTCCGACATGATTTTGTGAAATTGTTGTTCTTTATGGTGGCAAAATAAAATCGCGCAGCTTTGGTGCGTTCGTCATGTGAGCTTGAATTACTGCTGTTTCCGATCACGGTTTTGACATTTCCTTTGTGAGAGCCGAAGTAGCTGTCTTTCACAAGGTCGCCGATTGATGTATTCCTGTGCCATCGTCATGTAATTTTATATCAGTTTACCTTTGCTCGGGTTTGGCGTATAGAAGTCCTCTAAATTTTAGATATGTTATATTTTTCAACATATTAAAGCAGTAGACAAAATAAAAAGTTGTTTGAATGACTCTTTTGCTACCTTAATTCATTTCTAAAATTCAAATTTCACGCTTTTCGCCCTATTGACCAATCAGAGCATTCAAATATAATTTGATTAGAGAAATTAGCACCTAAAAAATAACTGCCGCTATTGCACTGGCCTATTGTTCTTTTGCCTTGTTCTTACACAGGCCATTACTTAAACGCTAAGGTCCGTTTTAAAGCCTTGTCAAACTTTGCCTAGTCCGTGTACGGCGTTTTCCCAGTCTCCCTCGGTCACATTTTCGCTTGGACCACGTGACCTGAAAGGCTTTGGCCGCGCGGAATAATGAGGAATAGGAACTAGAAGATAACACCAGACGTTAGGATTTATATATGCAACTGACCCCTAACCATTAAAATTAAAAGGGGACAGACTGCAAATTGTTGTTGCTCAAAATACCTATAAGTCGGAACTGATCATCAGTAGGATGCCTAAAATGTGTGCAATTCCACGATTAGTTTCGGCGCCATTAAATCCTATACCAATTGTAGAACATTTTAGGAGGACCCACCCACAATGTGAGCACTGACAAGGCATATGAATAGGAAAACAGCCCACACACAACCTACACCACCTGAAACGATACTAAATTAAGGTGGCTCCGTCATTAGTACAAACGCATTTAGCTATGACAAACTTTTACTCATAACGTTCACGTTTTTAACGCGATGGCTGCGAAACCAGATATCATCCGGCAATAGTATGAAATATCCCAATTTTATTGATGGTGAATATTTTTGGCGAAATTAGCCCTTTAAAGGGCCGTACTGCTCACGTCTAGTAAAAAATTATGCTGATTTTTGACTGAAATTTCTTGTATCGGCTTCTATCAGTGATATAATAAATATGCCAAAGAAATTTTCAGGGAAATCTTTGGAGCAGAAGGCAGTAACTAGAAAGTGAGTCGATCAATTTCAGCTGTTGAATTGTTCTGGAATTTCGAAAATAAATTGCTCAGAGGTAGAACGGACCAACCACCAGTTAGAAATTTTGGGACAAGTAGCTCCATTGTTTGCTAATTCTTAATTGTTACTGCATTTGAAAAAAAAATCGTGAAAACGCAGTTGACAAATCCCCGAAAAACTGTCAAACAACGCCCTTACTATGTGGTGGCTTCTATTTACAAAAATTACTGTTCTTTTTTATAGCAACTATTCCCTCGTATAGGGTCGATACATGGTACACCTCGATGCTTCACGTCTCGGTGTTTATCCTCCTCTAATCACCTCCCCTTCGGGAGACAGCTGTCAAAAGTTGAACCTCTCTACAACGGCCACCTTGGGGTTAGAAGCAAGTGGCCATTGTAGAGAGGTTGAAACAAGAGTCAATGTATGGACTGCCCGCCAAAACAAAATGGCCGTTGTAGAGAGGTGGCCGTTAGTGGAGGTTCAAAGTATTACCAATATCGAAATAAAATCAACAAAAGAATTTTCGAACAAGTCTCACTGATAGTTTTCAAGCACGGGCCCGCTTGAAAACTTTCGTCGCGCCTTTTTTCCCGACCCAACTGACTGACCCTGGGTCTCCGTGGTGACTGATAACGTTAAGTCGCAGTTTTTACAAAAAAGACCAGCTGGGTTAGTACTGCTCATAAAACTGGATTTACTAAATTTCTTTTGGAAGGACCTTGTTTATTTGAAATGAGTGAAATGACAGATTTGTAGCAGGTCCAACTCTCATGCAAGTGCTGCCACAGTTTGAAAGGTGACTTCATATCAATCGATGCATTATTAAAGAAAAAGTCTTGCCTTGCAAGAAGACATACAGAGAGCGAAATGAAAAGGAATCGTTCACATAACTGTCGTTTTCCTCCTTTTCAAAATTTTTTAGACGAGGTTACTTTACAAAGTCTCTGCGGGGCCGGTTATTTAAAGGAAGTTTATATAACTTAAGTCGCGGTTTGACAAATCTTTGTACCTCCAGACCTCTTCCTTAGTGCGTTATTTAAAGGAGATAAATGCTTTTCTAGTCTACACTATATGCTTTCATAAAAAAGTTCACAATAAACGCTGTTTAGATAAAACCGTTGGGCAAATTAAAAAGTGCGTAGAAACACTGGCTAAATTACGCTAAAATAACTGGCCCTCCGTTTCTAAGATTCCGCTCACAAGAGAGCGTTTTCACATGACGTCACGGCGACTATATTGGTGTCCCAAAAAATAAAAAGGCGGCCACGTTGGTGTTCCACACCAGTCCTGTGGGAGTTAAACCTTCTTCTTTTGTAAAAACTTTGTTCTGTTCTAATGAATTTGAAAAGCTGCTGGCCAGGTGAAGACGCATACATTTCATACGACTTTGGCCTTGCATTCACATTAGAAAGAATATGGCGTACGTGCATGAAAAGGAAAGTTTAGGCAAACGCTCTCGAAACTGTACATTTTTTAAAAAACTAGATGGACAATAATGAAGTTTTTCTAAAAATGCTGGCTTCATGGCTACTCATTCATGACCCGGCTAGTGTAAAACGAAGCAACAACAAGGGAAATCGAAAACAGCACGTCTGTCCGACGAACATAAGCGTGCCTCGTACCTGGCATATTTTTCGATGGTTTCGTGTACACGGTCAAACACGATGTGAAAACGCTGGTGTAAACTCAAAACATCCAGGTGCGTTATGTCAACAGGAAAACGTGGAAATCGCTTTAGTGCGGAGATGATCTCAGACCCCGCTTGTTAGCGTGTGATTAACCTTTGATGATTAATTTTTCTACATCGCAATTCTGTCCGTCGATGATGTGTTTTTCACAAATGCAATAACGAACAGTAACATGCTAATACGTTAACGACTATTTCCATCGTTTCACATAATGAGCTATGACTCAATTTATAGGATGTCTTTATTCCTTTGAATTTGATACAAGGTGCTGAACAAACGCTGTGAAAGTCGAATCTTTTGAAATTACCCTAAGCTTGTTTATTAGAGGCACCGAATCAACGAAAAAAATATAATTGATTAACTATTTGTGGAAAAGTAAGGGTCAGTGTTAAACAAGTGTTGACGTCATTTAGAAAAAAACAGTCGAAATTGGTCAACAGGCCAACCTTAGTAGAGGCCAATTCTAATTTCAACAATTATCAATGTTTATAAAATGTTTTTTCGTTTTCTTAATATTTCCGTTAACAACTATAATTATCCTTTTTACATTGTTGTTTTGTTTTATTTTTATAGGCAAAGGTGTTGGCTGGTGTTAAAACGTTTCAAGGGAGCCCTTGCGGTCATCTTCGAATTTAACTCGACGTCTTTATGGTTTCTAATTGCATCACAGTTCAACGTTTCCTTTCGATTTCCTTACCATTGCTTTAATGGATATCAATGCACGGTTTTGCCTTGGCAACATCTCAACTGTCAGAAGTGAATGAATGTTTATATTATTCATTTTGAAGAGGACCTGTCATGCATAAAATGACTTTTGAGTAACATAAATATCATTCGAAACCTTAAGTCCCGGATATTTTTTGGCCCTGTCTACTGGAGAAACGAAAACACTTCACTCAACGTGTACGATTTGGCAAAACTTAAAGGTCGAACATACAAGAAGCGTTTTCTCTCAAACTCTGCACAAGTATGGTATGGATTTGCTCTCTTTCCTCTATGAGGTTACGATTTTGAAAAGGTGATTTTTTTGTCAGAAGTGCAATTTGATTCAAGGTACTGTAAAATAATTTCAAGGGTGAAGAAGGATACAGAATGATGGTCTCTAAATTTGCAATGCAATGATTATGGAGTACACATTTTTAATGTCGGACACCTAAAATGAACAAAGCAGAAAGTTCTTACATCGACCTCAGTACGAAAAGTAAAGGTTCCAGAAAATGATTTTATGGATATGAGCTTCATTGTCACTAATTTCTTTTAAACCCTAGTCAGACATGATTAACATGTAAGAATTTTCTTTTGGGGGGTGTGCTTATCATAGCTTTAAAGTTAGCTATCAAGTTATTAATAATTATTTCTAATTTAATGAAGAGCTGTACGCCTGCAGTGAGGAATAATTCAGCAACTTTAAATAAGTGAAGAGTACTATTGCAATGTTGTCGTCATTTGATAAAATCTTCCCGGTTAATGGTGCGCAGGCGTCGATTCGATTCCAAGAATTACTTAAAAAGGCCTAGTTGTGATATATATGTTCTTTCTGTCGCGAGAAAAGCTGGTGGCAATATTAATTATTAAAAAGCTTACTTGACAACTGCAAATATCTTTTACGCTGCACTCGCTTACGAACGCACGTTCTGCGTACTTTTTTTTCTCTGTATACGTGTATTTTCGCTCGAGATGCAATGATTCGCGGCTATGGCCCGTACTGGATCTATTGGATTTCTTATCAAAAGCAAAACTTCACATGTTAGATAATTCTTGCCAAGAATAGACTGATTTGGAATCCGCGCTGTTAGTTTGCTTGAACAACATGGAAGGGTTTGATGCGTCCAACGAAAACGTCGAAGTGGAACTTCAAAGACAGCAGTTTGTTAAAGAAAAAAATGACATCGTTTGTGGCTTTCTCAAAGAAAAGGAAATTATAGAAATTATGCACAAGGAAGAAGTAGACGATCTCGTGGCAAGGCACGAGCAAGAGACGGAATTGATGCGAAAAGAATTTCAATTAGAAAAACAGGACCTGTTGCAAGGATTTCAAAAACAACAGGTGGAAAACGTAAATGAGTTTAAGCGTGAGAGGGAAAATTATGAAAGGAAAACAGCGGTTAATTTTCAGTCGAGAGAAAGGAATCTCGAAATGAAATACAAAGAGGAAAAGCTAAAGATGAGGAGAGAATATGAGGAAATTATTGCCGAAAAAAACGAAGAAATAAAAATGATACGAAGGGAATTGCTCCGTGTTGAGCATCAAGAAAATTTATCTGTTAGACACTCCCTGGACAGTGATGTTTATATTACAAAAATTGAACATAACGAGGAATTAGAACGACTAGCTGAAAAATTTAATGTTGAAAAGTTAGAACTCGTTAGGGAATTTGATAGAGACAAAGCGAAGCTTGTACAAGTGTTTTCAAACCAGGCGGAGCGTATGAATTCAAACTTTGATCACGTAAAGCAAAGAATGCAAGAAGATCAAGAAAAGGAGCTCGAATTTAAACTAGAAATTACAGAAAAGTTGCTTTCTGAAAAGTTCGAACTCGAGAAGAAAAGAATGCTTCAGCAGTTTGAGCGCGAAATGAAAGAATTACAGGAAAGTTTAGAGTTTGGCTATAATGAGACACTTCTTGAGAAAAACCAGACCATCGATGATCTTGAGCAAGAAAAAAGGAGATTGCTCAATGCATTACATACTGAAAGATTTAGTCTAGCCAGAATTTATAACCGTGAAATGTCTTTACTTACAAAATCAGATCAAATAACCAAAGAAGACGTCGAAGTTGCACTCATCGATGAAACTGCAAAACTGAAACAGCAATATGAGGATGAATTAAATAAAATGGAGCAACAACATAGGCAGAAGATTGAAGTGATTAAAAGGAAGCAAAGACCATTTCGAGAATCAGAGCTTGAACATCGCAAAGAAATCGAGAAGTTGAAGAAAGACTTCGAAAACGAGAAGGGACGTTTGGAAGCTGAATTCCGGAAGGAGCAGTTTAATTTGTTGAAGAGTTTCGAGTTTGAGAAAAATGACCTGCAACAGGAATATGAAGGAGTTATAAATGAAAAAGAATTGGAAATGCAACAGAGGGAAAGTGATATGAGGCAGCTCTATGAAGAAGAACTTGATAGGCTAAAATCAATTGTCACGAAGCAACGAGAAGAGCTTGAGACCTCTAAACAGAAACTCACAGACTTAGCCGATCAAACAGAGGAATTTTTGAGCGAAAAGAACAGGATAGAAGAGAAATTTCTTAAAGAGAATAATCACCGCCAAAGCCTCCAGCAAACAATGGAGGCAAATATCAAGACTTACGAGAGAAACATGAAAGAAGTCGAAGCCTTTCACAAAAAGGAACTTGCCCAGCTAAGAAAAGAAAAAGAAAAGTTGCAAAAAATTGAAAGTGAAAAGAAAGATTTGCAAAAGGAAGTCGATGCACTTAAAGTAAAGCTAGAGGAGGCACAAATTGCTTCAGAAAAAGAGGCTGAGGTTGGCAGTTCATTTGTTACAGAACCAACAGTTACTGTTGATGGTGAAGCATACAAAGAAATTGAAGGGCTAAGAGTTGACGTTAAATCCACACCAACAGAAACCAGAGATGAAACATTGAAAAGCGAGAAAGAAGAAATGAATGACTTTCTCAGAAAAATTCCTGAAAGACTGAGGAAGTGCATGATCAAAGGAAAGGAGCCAAAAACGTTGGAAGAGTTTGAAATGTCCTACAAACAAATGAAGGATGCCATTAATGAGGAAATCGTTGAAATTGACAAGATCTGTGGTAGTAAAGAAAATGGCGAGCATGATATCACCATTTTGTTTCCAGAAGAGCCAACATTCTCTTTGAAAGACCAAATGCAGGCTGTAGATGACCTTTTAGGAGAAGAAAATACTAAAGGAAATATTGACAAGTCTACAAAGGAGAAAATAAACCTACAAGTGAAAGGGATGCTTAAGAAAGTTCATAGATCGCATGAGCTAGAGAAGCTAAAGCTGAAAAAGGAACAACAGCATGAATTCGGTAACGTATTGAAAGAGTTGGCTGGTGAGAAGGCAGCCAAAGTTCAAGAGCCAGTAAAGGATTTAAGGCAACTGCAGGATACAAATGAACGTGGGGATCGTTCACCAATGTGTGCTGAGATAAAGGCCACAAAAGACAGGGGTACATCGACAGACGATCTTCACCAAACAAGGAACGATAAGACTTCAATGAGCTCTTTAGATATGGTAGACGAGTTAAGGCGCGAAAACGAAGGACTCAGACGTTCCTTTGATGAACTTGAAAACGTTTTCACAAAAGATAAGAAAGAACTAACGGAAAAACTTCAAACACAGCATCTCGACTTTGTAATGAGCGCAGAGGGCGAAATAATTGAGAAATTACTAAAGCAGAAGTCGAGTCTTGAAGAGGCCCTCAACACTGAAAGATTCTATTTGAGTAGGCTATATTACCAGGAGATGAAAGACGAATTAGGAGACATTCTTTCTAGAAGAACAGAAAAACTGAAGAGGGAATTCAACAGTGAAAAAATGAACCTCATTTTCAAATACGAACGTGACATTACGGATTTGCAAAAATTGCTTTCTGAGAAAGCGGAGCTGGAAATGAGGTTACTTCAAGAAAGAAATGACGTCACAGCAAAGCTGCTGGCTGCACATAAAAAGGCTTCACCTGAAAAGAGTAAGAGTGAGCGGCTTAAAGAAAAAGAGAGACTCGAAAGAGAAAAAGAAAATCTGGAAATTGCCATTCCGCTTAAGAAGGAAATTGCTGCGCTACAGAATAAACGCCATCAAGAACACGAAAAAGCTGCTGCAAATCTCAAGGAAGCTATTGACCTAATAATGGACGTCATGGCCAGTGCTCCGCTTACCACACCAGAAGACGTTAAGCCTTTTGATAGTCTAAGCTTTTTCAGCCAGGATACCGCACGATCCAATGAAGTCTCTCCGGCGGGCAAAGTAAATGAGAACGGTTTTAAAACACGCACACAAGCTTCGCTATCGCAAAACGAAATTCACAACAGGGATGAGCTAGGAAAAGCCTTAGAGAAACTCGTAGACACTGTAGTTAGCGAGGACGAAGAGTTCACGTACGAATCAGAGACAACGTCCGGTGCGAGTTCTGATTTAGAGTCAGAAGATTCAGGTACCGGCGCATTAAACGGCGACATTGACGAGGGAGCGTATTCTGGGCCAGAATCGAATGATGATGAGAACACATTGAACATCAAGAAAAAGGAACTTGAATTTACCTTTAACCTCGAGAGGTTCAATCTTGGAAGACTTTATTATGGAGAATACAAGGATAGCTTGCGCAAAGCAATGAAGAAATTAGAACAGGCAAAAGAGGCTCTTCGCAGTAAAAGAAAGGATTTGGAAAAAGAAATGCGTAACGGAATAGAATTGGTTGTCAGCCGCACTCATTTTGGAGAGGTTTCAACGCAAGCATCAAAACGAGATAGAGGAACGCAAACAGTGAAGGAATATATGTTTGAGAAGAGTTCAGAGGACTTAGTGGATGGACAGGGGCTCTACAAAGTAAAGACAACGGAAGTTACAATGGAACCGCCGGATGAGGATGACAGTAGACGGACTGATTTCCGGGAAAGCATGGAAGGTAAGCAAGAAGACAAGACAGACAACAAAGAACAAGAAAAAGAGAAAGGCAAACCAGAATTACTGAGCTCTCCCACTAAAGACTGTAGTCGTCAAGAAGAAAGTCAAGTTGAAAATGGCGAAAGAGACTCCCCTGCTACTGGTAAACGCGATCTAGAGGGAAAGGGTTCGCCCACACCCGAAGAGGACAAATATAGTTCTGATGATCTCATTACTTCTGACGGCACGAATCTCTCAAGAGAAAGCAAGTATCCGGCTGTTGGACAAGACCTTGATACTATAACAGAAGAGCAAGAAGAGGATGGTGATTACGCTGGTGAAGCTCATTTGCAAGATTCCGAAATCGAAGACCTGCTTTCCGTGGAGAAGAAAAGGGACAGAGACGAAGGAATTAAAAACGACGATGTACCGCAAGAGCAAATGGAAATACAAAAACCAACGGAAGAGGCAACACCCATTTCCAGTAAACCTAAAGGGCACCAAGGAGATGAAAAGAAGGAAAAAGGCAAAGGTGATGACAGTGCCATAACGAATATAGGAAAAACGGTTGAAAAACTGGATGACGAGAAAGGAACAGACGCGGACGACGGAATTTCTTCGAAAGAGGGAATTTCCGAGAAGGCAAAAGAAGTAAAGGATAAATCTGCTGATGGCAAGGAAGATAAAGATACCAAGGGCAGTCCTATCGCGGAAACAGACGTCGTAGGGGACGAGGACATGAGCACCATCCAAAACACATCCCAAGCAGAACCATACAATGAAATAAAAAGGTACAAAGAGGATCAATCCGGTGATGAAGGGGGAGATAAAAATGCCGAACAGGAAATTCCAGTCGAAATTGATGGTGAGCCTGGAATTCCAGATGCAGATGAAAAAATTACTTCGCTTAAATTAAAAACAGATAAAGAGTCACCAGAGGCATCAATTAGCCAGGAAGATGAAAAAAGTGATGGAGACCTCATCGAAGGCCAGTCTACAGAAGAGAAAGAAAAAAAGCCAAAAAAGAAACAAAAGGGAATTGCCAACGTTATCAAAGGAGACAGTTCTGAAGAAACGGACCATCTCGACGGGATTCTAACAGGGGGTATCAACGGTCATCCCAGGGAAAAAGACGAAGAAAGTTCACCAGAAGGCCACACTAGTGAAGGAGAGAAAAATGTAGAAGTTAATGAAAAACCAAAAGAAAAGAAAAAAAGGAAAAAGGGAAGAGGAAGGAAGGCAGGTAAACACAGCAAAGAAGACGAAAAAGAAGACAAAGTAGAAGAAACGGACGAGGAAGACCACATGAATGTTAAAGGAAGAGAATCTCCTATCAGCAACCAAGATCTTATTGAGGAGCTAACAGAAAATAACAAAATATTGCAAGATAAGTTCAGTCTCTTGTGTGAATTAGTGGGCAAAGGATTCGTTGATGAAATCCCAGAACTAACCGATGAAAATTACCGGATATGCCCAGACAAACCACTAGACAGCGTACACGAGTTATATACCGAGAAGGAACAGCTCGCAAATGAGATTCAAAAAATAGATTTGCAGATAAAAGAGCTTGCGGAAAATGGCAGTGATACGATAAAAGAGCTCAACGAAGACTTGGACAAGAAGGAACTGGAACTAATGCATTCCTTAGAAGAAACTGAAAAACATCTTAAGAGGGACGAAGACAAGAAGCTTGTGGAACACCTACTAAAAGAGAAAGAGGACGTGTGCACTAAACTGGATGAAATTAATAACATTCTAAATGAGAAGAAAGGGGAAATGGAAGATTTAAGAAGTCATGATGGGCATACCGTGCCTGGTCTTATGTACAGGAAAGATGTGCTGAGAGACGATTTAACTGAAAAGACACGGGAACTGAATTCTAGTAGAAAACTGTTAGAAACAGCGAGTCAAGAATCAGAGAAAGAAAAACAACATTTGGAAAACTCCTTAAACAGTTTGAATGTTCAATTTGCCGCTTTACAAGAATTTACCAATTCTAGCCATGGCAACTCCCATTTAAGAGCAAGGCCAATGAATAAATGGGTACCACCCGAAATCGAGCATTTGCTAAATAGCAAAGCGGACGCAGAGCATGAAATAGGAGAGCTAGATAAGAAGATCGAGAAAGCAGAAAATGAAGACAACAAGTATCACAGAGTGTTAGAGGAACAAACAGATAGGTTAAAGCCATTTTACAGGAAAAAAGCCAGACTTGAGAAGGCTTTAAAATTTGTTAATCAACCAAGTGACGGAACCGAAGACCTGCCAACTAGAACTGTTGTAGAAATAACAGATGGTGCAGACGATGCTGGTGAAAAAACCCAAGACGAGTTACTTATGGACGGAAATAAAGTAAATGTTCCAGATCAATACAGCTCTAAAAACCAGCGAAAGATGGAACTCGAATATCAAATTGAAGAATTGAATGCTGCTATCAGGACTATCGGGATTTCATTTGGCCTCGATTGCGAACTCGCCGAGGAGATCCCCACAGTTGAGAAGCTGCAAATGATTCATGAAGCAAAGACGAAAAAAGAAGAAGACTTGCAAGTTCTCGAAGCTGAAATTATTGACGAACAAAATAACTTAAGAAAAGGTAGTTCCGTTGACCCTGAACAACTCATTGAAAAGTTTAAACAAAATGAGAAGTTGAAGAAAAATATTGCCAGATATTTGGATTCTTCAAAGTTAGCGGAGGGAGAGCACAACGATGTAAAACAGTTACAAAGTATAGTTTCTTCGAAGGATAGCCTCGAAGAACAGGCTCATTTGCTAGATAGGCAGATATGGCAAGAACAGAGCAACTTTCTTGAGGCGTTTCAGTTCAAGAGGACCGGAAAGGTGAATGCTGACTGTGGTTCTAAAATCAAAGAGCTCTTAGACACCAAAGACAAGTTAGTGGAAGACCTAGACAATACCAATGAAAAAATACTGAAAAATATAAGTACTGGTGGCTTGATGGGAACCCACGCTCAAGGTTTAGAGGAGTGTGTAGAGAGGAAGGTGAAACTGGAAGAGGAAATTGCCAGACTACAGGATCACATTGCCGATGAACCTGGCAGAGCAGCTGAGAGCTTAGTCAATATCATTGAAAAGAAATCGGACGTCAGTAAAGATCTGAAAGGCGCAAAACGAAAAGATGCAGATGAATTAAGTAGGGTGCAAATAGAAAGTATCGATGACTATTGCCGTTACGATCCAAAAGAGGTAAACGATACCTTTACCCACGCAATTTCAACCCTCGGAAAAGAATCTGCGCCTATAATAGGATGGGAAGAACTTCGTCAAAAACAACATGAAATGGAAGTAGTCCTCAAAGAGAAAGCAGAATGCCTAATTAGAGCAAATAGAGAAGGAAAAGACCCGAGTAGTGACGAAGAGGTGGTCGAAAGCGTCATTAGAGACAAAATATCAGTGGACAAGAAACTTCAAGAGGTTCTCGAGGAAAACAATAGCAAGGAGGCAGTCTTTCCACCACAGGAAATGAAGGAAAACGAGAGCAACCAAAGGTTACAAATGGCAGACGTGAATGATAAACGTGAAGAAATGGAAGATAATCTTTCTATGAATGAGTATCAACTAAACACTCTATTGCAGAGCGCGGGGTTGATTGATAATGATGTACAGAAGTTAGAGTCTCTTGTTGTTGAAAAAGTCAAACTCGAAGGAGAACTTGAAAGATATCAGTTGCTTCAAGACCTGTTCCTCAAGAAGAAATATTTACAACAAAAACTTTGTAATGAACAGCAACAGAGTGATGAATGCCAAAGAAACGAAGAGCTGAGGAGTGAGTTGGAAAAACTGAATGCGCTTATCGATCGACGAGAAAATGACGTAGAGAAAATAAAGACTAAGAAAAACGTCACTAAGGAAAAAGTCAAGCACCTTGAAGATGAAAAAGAAAAGTTGAATAACAAGTTGAAACCTCTCACGGAAAGTATCATTAAATTAGCAGGAGAAGTACAGGTACGCTTAGAGGATGCGAAGAAAAAACTAAACGAACACGAGAAATGCGCTGTTGAAGAAAGGCAAGCACTTCAAAACGAATTAGAGGCCCTTCAAGACGAAATTGACAGGTGGAGCAAAGAGGAGAAGGAAGTGGACAGAGAATTGGAAAGTAGAAAGAACGGATTAAGTGAAAGGAATGGGAACCTGTTAGATCTTGAGAAGTTGCTTATTGAGAAGGAAAGTTTAAGAGAATATCTAACCGAAATTGATGCAACACTTGACAAAACCGAAATGGATACCGTCGAGCAGGCGAATGTTACAAATGCCCAAGAATTGTCAGAAAGAAAGAAGGAGTTAGAGAGAAAGCTGGAAGAAATCAGAAATAAAAAGTTAAAGATGGATGTTGAATTTGAAACGGATGAAATAAGCGAGGCAATGAAAGAACTCTTCCAAACAATGGAGAATCTAGAAGTAAGGGAAAGAGAAGTTTCTGACCAGATACGTGAATCGGGAATTTTAGGCAAGCTGGCGGAAAGAAGAAAAAATGGCGAGAACAAAGTATCACGTTTCTTTATCTACGGTATCTTGGAAGCGATGGGAAGGGATGAAAAGACAGTAACCGAACTATTAAAAGAAAAAGAAGAGTTGAAAAATGCTGCCCAAAAAGAGAGAGACAACGTTAATGAAGAGATGGCATTGCTGAAAAGTAAAGTTGGCAAAGATCTCGCTAACGCATTAATACCAGCTTCTATAAAAGCACAAACAGACAAAGAAAGCGATTCCCTGTCAGCAATAGACGAGATTGAAAGTAGAGAATTAACCATAAGTGATTTACTCAAAAATTTTGAGGTGGATAATAAGCAGCTAAGGCTGATTAACGATGAGCTAAGCTCGGAGTTAGAATCTCTTAAAAATAAAATTGGAGAGGAATTAGCAAACGAACTCGGTCAGTATCTACCAGATAAACATTCGCCATTTTCCGACCTTGTTAGTGTGGTCCAACAGGATGAAAAGACGTTGGAAGATATACTGCAAGAACAGAATGAGAAAATGCACGCAATAGAAGACTCAGTCGGGAAAGATCTCCTCAGCTCAATTTTGTGGATGAAAGACAACCCTCGCAGAGTAGATGATGTCGATACTCCAAGGATGCTAATGACCCCTTCTATAATGAAAGAGTTTGACGAAGATCTCGAAAATGTCATTGCTGTTTATGAAAAGGAGCTCAATAGTCTGTCTTGTAAGAATGATTTACTAAAGGAAAGGCTGGGCGAGGTCCTTCTACAGGACATCCTTAGTTTAAGAAAAAACACTGAGAAGCCTGTACTAGCATATGGGACAGCAGCGGATCCTTACTCGGATGGCACGGTGAATGAACATGAACTTTGCACGCTTAATAAAGATAAAGACGTATCAGGATTTAACGCTGATCAAGGCGCTGTCAAACTACCAGGAGAGGAAGTTAATGGCATCAATGTTAAAATAACTGATCCGGAAACAGGTGGACGAGAGGAAGACGGCATTGAGCACCAAGATGGACTAAGAAGGGGAAGCACACTGAAGGACTCAACGGATGTCAAACTAATGCCAAGGCATCAACAAGAGAGACGACGAGAAGTCAAAATGCGAGGCAGCGACTTAAGGAGAGGCTCTGGGCCGCTTTCAAGTTATGTTGAAAATAAAACTCCACCCAAACTTTATTACATGTGTTTGCCACACTTCACTTACCCACTTGAACAGAACGTTTCTGCTTCAGCAGACGAGGAAAATGTCCAAGGATACTTAAGAGCACCAAAGATAATGGAAGCTAGTGGCAAAACCCTTGGGGACGTTATAGCCCAGTATGAAAGCGATCTTCAGCGAATATCGAAAGACTTGAACCCAGAAAGTTACGTCAGAGATTCTGATACGAGTACGGACGTGGAGGATGCGATTTCTTCTCCAACACGACAAAGACGAACAAGTGCTACCCCACTGAGCACAGTTGATACATCTGACGGTACAATTCCCAATGACATTGTTGAAATTGACATGAAATTGCAAGGTATTGTTGAAACCCAAGACAACAACCTAGGAATGCTTCAACTCCTGAAAGAAAGACTTGGGGAAGATCTTGTTGATGCCCTGATAATTGAAACAGATCACCCTATAGAAGATGATGTTCAGACTAATGGCAAGGTAGATGCACTTAAAATACCTGAAAATATAGAATGTGGTGAGACAACTTGTAAAGAATTGGTAGGAGAGCCACCAGACAAAGATGCCAGCACAGAAATGGGAAAACATTCGAGTGGCCACGTAAGGCTGAGAAAAATATCAAAGGCCTCAATAGACAAACCAAAGGGAGAATCGACAGAGCGGAAAGAGGAGAAGGCAAGTGTAACGAAAATAAAGGCACCCAATATTGTTCTTGAAAATAAAACAACCTTAGGTGACGTCATAGCATCTTACGAGAGGGTGTTGGATTCATTGCAGTCTAAACTGGGGCCATCTCTGACTAGAACATTGGTTACAATGCAAGACCCGACTGCTCTAGAACGGGAAGACGCACATAACAAGGAGAAGGCAAGGAAAACAGAGGAAAAGACTTCAGATCAATACGATGTAAAAGAACATGAGAAACAAACAGTAGATGAGCAGGCTAAAGAAATTTCTGAAAAAATAATGGAAACATTGCCAGAGTGTGGAACTGGTACGGGAGAAAGGACCACTCAAACATCACTAAGAGCCCCTGATATCATGGAAACAAGTGGAAAGACTCTTGAAACAATCATTGAGGATTATGAAAAACTAATTGAAATAGAACTTAAGCAAATGGAAAATGAAGTAACTACATTAAAGGAAAGGCTGGGAAGCGATTTGTATAAATCAATTATAAACACGAAAAACAGGGACGACGACGTAGCTGTATCTGACAGAGCAGTTACTTTCCCAAACCAAAATGAAACGTACTGCGTAAACCCAGAGGCACTTAAAAGTGAATCTGTAGAAGGCGAAGTTGGCGTATCATCATTCGATCTTAAAGCAAAATCATTACTAGAACAAAAGGGTATGACTGTCGAGGATATCCTGAGAAGTTATGAAAAGCAGCTGGAGGCGCTCTCAAAACTAGTTCCCAACGAAGATGGGAAGAGCGATTCCATTGCGGACCTCGTTTCCAGCTACCAAGACAAGATTGACGACTTAGAGAGCGAAAACAAAACCTTTTCAGATCGAATTTCGAAACTATCTGAACGTATAGGACCAGACCTTGTGGGTAAATTAGAATGCATGGAAGATGAAGACTACGACGTTAGAGCGAATGACGGCCTCAATGCACCAATAGTTATGAGAAAAGAGGACAAAACGCTGGAGAATGTGGTAAGGAATTACGAGAAAGAGCTCAGTGTTTTGAAAAACATGCTTCCAACTGAAAGCGAAGAGATGAGTTCTATTTCTGATATTGTCAAAGAGTATGACGACAAAATTGACGATCTAAAGAACAGAAACAACGGCCTACAGAAAGAATATGACAGACTTGTCGGGAAAATTGGCAATGACCTCGTAGAAGACATATTGTCACTGAAGTTGACGGAAGCCGAAACTGAGAGAGGAGGTTTAGCTCATTCAGAGGTATCAGAAAAGGAAGGCAACAATAACTTAAGGGAATCTGGTCGACTGAATGCCCCTTTCATCATGGATAAAGAAGACTCGACTCTAGAACACGTTTTGGAAACATACGAGAAAGCGCTTGGAATACTTCCTTGCTCACGATGTGAAGATAATAGGTTTGGTATTAACCAAATACGCTCCCTTGAAGAACTCGAAAGAGAGAACAAAATTTTCAGAGACGCTTTGGGTGGCGGACTAGCAGCAAACCTGATAGCGAGAGCAGACGAAGGCGTTCCAGAAAAAGGTGAACTGAAAGTTTCGTCAAAGGAAGATGACAATGGTGAAAACCAACTCCCCCATCAAGAACAGAAAGAAAATGAAGCACCTTTTTCTAAAGACGAAAGAAACCAGCTTACGGCATTGAAAGTAATGAAAGAGGAGGACACTACAATCGAAAAAGTCTTAAAGAGTTATGAAAATGAGATAGAAGCGTTACATAAATTATTTCCCAGCGAGACAAATGAAGCTTCATCAGTGTCTGATTTAGTAAAGGACTACGAGGATAGGATAGAGGAACTGGAGAATGAAAAGGCTACTCTCTTAGACTTGCTGGGCGAACTTACCAACACTATTGGTCCAGGGCTTATGGATGAACTGCAACATCTAAATACAAGTGACAACGGACGCGAAGAGACACAATTGGGAGGGGAACAGCGTTCCGATCTAGCGGCACCTAAGATGATTAGAAGTGAAGACAGAACGCTGGAAGAAGTTTTGAAAATTTATGAAAATGAGCTTGCTGCTCTACGAGAATTGACGCAGAACCATGGAGATATGGCCAGTTCCCTTTCAGATATTATTAAGAGTTACGAAGACAAACTGAAAGACCATGCAGAAGAAATCACTATAATAGAAAACAAGTTCTTTGAGCTGGAATCAAAGATTGGTACTGACCTTGTGGACGAACTTGGTAAACTGGAAATAAGAAAAGCTGAAAAGGGCAACACCTTTCTCAAAGCGAGCGAGAAAGGGGACAGAATTGGCAAGAAAGAGGCAGTAAAGCTAAGAGCTCCTGATGTCATGATTGAGAAGAAATTACCTTTGGAAGACATTCTGGCAATTTACGAGGAAGACCTTTGCAGCCTTAAAAGAGAAAACAAAATATACCAGGAAGGCCTTGGTCAGAGTATTGCTGAGGAGTTGCTAGAATTGGCAAAGAAAGAAGAACGTTCTCGTTCTGAGAATTTTGATCAACAAGGTAGTAACACTGGGGAAGACTCGGAACTTAACACGACGCTGAAGGAAAGTATCAGGGACAATGCGACGAGTGCAATGAAAACTGAGGAAGAAGGTTATGAACTCGTGCAGCAACCATCTAAACAAGACGCTGCGTGCGCAGTAAAAGGTGATGCACCTTCAGGTACAGGTGGATTACAAGCTATGAATCTCTTGAGAGAGGAAGGTAACAATATTGAAAGAATACTAAATATTTACGAAAAAGAGATACAAGCACTAAGAAGGCTGGCATCTGAAGGAACTGGGGAGAAAATGTCTGTTTCAGACCTAATCAGAGATTATGAAGATAAAATCAGTGATTTGGAAATGAAGAACTCGGTGTCTAAGGAAAAGTTAAACCGACTTGAAAAACGAGTGGGTCAGGACCTATTTTACGGTCTGGAGAATATGCAGTCAGGAGAGAAATCACAAGGAGACGAAAAGTATGACGCTGGTAAAAAGTCTGATTTAGAAGCACTAAACATGGTCATCAGTGAGGATAGAAACTTGGAGAACGTCCTAAAAAGTTATGAGAAGGAACTATCAGCTTTGAGGAAACTCCTTCCCATCCAAAACGATGAAGGAAGATCAATGTCAGGTATCGTCAAAGAATATGAAGATAAGATGGAAGAAATGAGAAGAGAAAATGAGCGTTTTGAAAGTGAACTCAAAGTATTAGAGGACAAGATCGGAGCTAATCTTCTTGGCGACATCAAGACCACCAGTCCAAGCGATGCTGACTCAGGGGAAAACGAAGAAGGACCCGACATTTTAGGAGAACTACAAGCTCCAACAATAATGAAAGACAACGATCTGACTTTGGAAAATGTCATTGCTTCTTATGAAAAAGATATCGAGGACTTGTCAAGTGAGAACAAAGCGTTGAAGGACAATCTTGGCCCAGGACTTGCCCAAATGCTGCTAAGTTCGGCAGGTAAGAAAGAACGACTGGCCGTAACTGGTTATTTTGCACCCACTGATACATGCAAAGTTGATGACAAAGTTATAACAGAAGAGAGAGAAAGCCAGAAACACGATTTTGAAGCTGAGGACAAGCAGGACGCAAGTGACATTAGAGGTCGGCCACTTGACAGAAATAATAACAATGAAATAAAATTTGGTACAGATTTGCCTCCTCGAGTTTTTAAAGCCGAATCTCTTATAAAAGATGAAGGGAAGACAATCGAGAACATCCTTCGAGACTACGAAAATCAGCTTGAGGTCCTTACAGAAACAGATCCTGACAATAGGGAGGAATTTATTTCAAAACAAATGACAAAGCATGAGGATGTTATCGAGGGTTTGGAAAACAAAAACAATAACCTCGTTAAAAGGCTGGAAAATTTAGAGAAGACAATTGGAATAAGTCTTTTGAACGCAGTGGAGAAGATAGGTCTTGAAGAAACTGAAAAATTGAAAGACAATTGTAATCAAGAAATGGACGATAATTTAATGGTTCCAGAAATTATGAAAAAGGAGGGAAGAACGTTAGAGAATGTAATAAAGGCATACGAGAGGGAGCTCGATGTTCTGAGAGATTTTATTCCAAGAGAGGATGGAAATAGAGGCGCTATTACCGACGTGGTGAAGGACTACGAAGATAAAATAAATAAACTTAAAAGAGAAAATAAGCAATTGACAGCTGACCTTGGAAGCCTAGAGGAAAAAATTGGTCGTGATCTTGTTAACGATATCAAGATGCTGGAAGGAACTGTCATCGTTGAAACTGAGGCCAAAGAGCTGAAGGCAGGTGAGTCCCAAAAAAACTTAAAGGTCACTAAAATCATGGAAGTTAAAAGGTCAGCGTTAGAAGATGTGTTGCAAACGTATGAAGATGCTCTTGCAACATTCTTAAGCGACGCGTCGAACTTCATTGATGGCCCTGAAGGTATTGTTTATGACCAAAGCAGCACAATGAATGAGCTAAAAGAAGAAAACGATATCCTTAAAAGAACTGTTGGACCTGCTCTTTCACAAAAGCTAATAAATATCGGAAAAGGTGGTGCTGCAGCTACCGAAGGCGAGAAGAAGATCTCTAAGAATGATACTAATGTCCAAGATGAACTTGACGGCATCACAGAATTAGAAACAGGCGTAAAACAACAGTCTCCTGCGCAGAATAAAAAAGAGAAATTTAAAGTTGAAAGTCTTGTGAGAGAAGAAGGAAGAACTATAGAGAATGTTTTAAAGACCTATGAAGAAGAACTTGAGACTTTGAAGTCAGTAGTTCTTGACGACACAGGACAAGCAGCGGAAACGTTCTTAGACCTGATAAGAAAGTATGAAGCCGAGAAAGAGAAACTTGAAAGGACAAACAAGAGCTTGATAGAGAAGCTAGAATTCCTGGAGAAACATATTGGCCCTGACCTGATCAACGACATAGAAAATAAACGAAACGTTTCTTTGAGAGACAACAGAAGCGAGATAAACGCTCTTGCACTTATGCAAGAGGAAGAAAGAACCCTGGAAACCGTAATAAGATGTTACGAGAAGGAACTCGATGCGTTACGTAAAATGAATGTTAGCCAAAAGAAGGAAGGGGATGTCTCAATATCAGACCTTATCAGTGGCTACGAAGGCAAACTAGATGATCTCAAGAACGAAAACAAGTTACTTAAATATGATTTGCATAAGATGAAAGACAAGCTTGGTAGCAACCTTGCCGAGCATATCATGGGACTGGATGATAAGGCGGAAAGCGAAGCCGAGGCAGAAGACAAAGAGGAACGGATGGCCTCATATGGCTCGTTAGAAGCTGCAAACACAGCAGCAGACGGGACACATGGAGAGGAACTGCACGAGGTAGTGGGAGAAAAGAAACGTTTACTGACCACTGGAAGCCAGGAGAATGACAACAAAGTGCCAGTCTCAGATGACTTAAAAGCGAAAAATTTAATTAGAGATAAGGGGATGACAATTGAAAATATTTTAAAGAACTACGAACAACAAATTGAAGCCCTTTCTAAACTAACTTCACAAGAGAAGGATTCGAGCTATACCATCGCCGACCTCGTGACAAATTACGAAAAGAAGATCGAAGACTTGAAAGCATCAAACAGCGTCTTAGAAGAAAACATGGGAATCCTCACGGAGAAAATCGGAAAAGACCTCGTGAAAGCCCTCGAAGGTGAATTGGGGAGTGATGAAGAAAGAGATGGATATAGGGATTCGGGACAGCAGCAAGAAGACCGTTCAAGGTCAAGGTGGAAAGCATTTCAGAAGATCAAAGAAGATGAAAAGACCCTAGCCGACATCATAGAAAACTATGAGGATGACTTAGAAAGATTGAAAAGAGAAAAGGGTGCTATGGAGGCTTTGCTTAACAATGAAAAAGACGGACAGTCTGCCCTTGACGTAATATCCCAATATGAGGATGAAATTCATTGTCTCAAGGACACTAACAAGGAGAAAGAAAACAAATTATCGACATTAATTGCAAGAATCGGTGATAATCTTGCTACGGACATCCTCACTCTTCCTCAAGGCAAGGAACCAATCGGCAGTTGTTCTTTAGAGGCGCTTAGAGTTATGGCATTACATGGTAAGCAGCTTTTTGCCGTTTTAATTGAGTACGAAGATGACCTCATGAAACTTACAAGGGAAAACAAGACCCTTAAAGCTGTCGCGATTAAAGACGAAGTAGACGGGAAAACAGTTACCAGTCTTGTTTCGGAATACGAAGACAAGATTCAAAAGCTAATAAAGGAGAAGAACGATTCCGAGTTCAGTCTTCGTATGTTAACTGAGAAGATAGGTGAGCCTTTGGTAAATGAAATAACCAATACATGCAACGAAGATAAGCCCACATCTATTAATGCTGTTAAGATTATGAAAGATGAGAGCAAGTCCCTTGCTGACGTCATAGAGAAATATGAAAATGAACTTGCTAAATTGGGCGCAATAAGAGATCTGGCCACCGAAGATCCAGAAACGAAATCCTTTATAGAAAAGATTTCAGAGTATGAAGATGAAATTTCTCTTTTGACTAGAAAAATAAAAGAGCAGACTTTGCTGGAAAAGAAGGTAGGCATAGAGTTTTCAAGACAGCTGACAGCGTTGGCCAAATGTGGAACAGGGGAAAGCAAGGAGGCTGTTTCTTTGAAAGCAGTGGCAATAATGGAAAGGGAAAAAGAGTCGACAGTCGCAGATGTTTTAAAGGAATACGAAACAGATTTGGAAAATAAAAATCATGAGATATCTGTACTAAAAGAATTAATATCAAGTGATATGCTTGAGATAGCAGCATCTCAAGAAAGCGAAATACATGAGCTGAAGAAAGTAAAAGAAATTCTGGCCAATGATCTTGATGTAATCACCGATAAAGTAGGCAAGGAGCTAGTGAGAGAAATTCTCAAAAAATCGTCTGGACAACCAGAGTTCGAAAAAGACAAATTGTATCGAGATGTGGTCGAAAGAATGAAAAAGGATGGAAAACCACTTGAGAGTGTTATAGAGGAGTATGACCAAGAAATAAAACTCATGATGGGCAAAAACGAAGAGCTGATTAGGAAGGAGGGTCTGCTTACCGCAAAAATTGGTGAAAGGCTTATCGTAGAACTTCTAAGTTCAGACGTACCATATAATAGCACTGATGTGGAAATGAAACCACTATTTGCAGCATCAGAAGTGATGTTAACCGAAAAGAAAACTTTAGCTGAAGTTGTCTTGGATTATGAAGAAGAAATTGCTAAATTAAAGAGAGAAAATGGAGCTCTACGTGTATTCACTGAGGAATCTTCCCAGGACACTTCGGTCATTGACGCTATAACCAACTATGAGGAACAAATTGAGAAAATAGGGGGCGAGCAAAGAGAATTGATGAATCGATTGCACAAAATAACTCATCGGGTGGGAGTGGAGTTGACTAAAGAGTTGCTTAAACTCCCGGATGACGTCTGCGAGAGTAAACCAGAAGCTACTAGCCAGTTAACAGCATTGACACTACTTAAGGAAAACAACTTCAGCTTAACCGATGTACTGCGAATGTACGAGACAAAGTTGAGAGGCGGTGATGAAGTAGATTTGGGGCCCTTGGTTTCTAGAAATGTGATGACGGAGGACATAAAATTTGCGCACCTTGTCCGCCTGGAAAGTGAGCCTCAAGCTATCATTTCAGAGGAAGGAAATTCTGAGATATCTAGATACCTGCAAGGAAACGAGTTTGATGGGGCCATTCCGCGCGATGGTAACGCTTTAAATACAGCTTTGTTGCAAGAACACGACCAAATGAAAATGCTTGAAAAAATAAACGCTGCACTTTCTGAAAAGTTTGAACAGTTGTCAAGGAAAGTTGGCAAGGAATTGTCGCAGGCGCTAATGAGATCACCAGAGGATAAAGAACAGGAAGGGGAAGCAGCGATTACAACAGCTGAAGACCTCGACGCTTTCGATGACATAAATAAGGAGAGGGCAACAATAGCTGAGGTTTTAGAAAGCTACGAGAGAAGATTGAAAGGACCATCGCAAAGTGACGTTGGCACACTTGGTAATGGTCACGTCAAAGAAGAAGAGATAAAGCCTGCTCGGTTGGTGCGTGCTAATGAAATTGTGGAGGAAATCTGTGATATCAATGACACAGAGATTGTTAGTCATTACAAGGCTCTGAATGAGGAAGACGCTTCCGAAGTTCCGGAGTTGTGGGATATGGATATTGCGTATTTAGTCGAAGTCGTTGAACACCCAGGGGAATCAGTGCTTCCTATCCCAGATAAGGACGTGATCCACGAGGAAGTGACGAAAGTAGAGTTACTGCAACATGAAAGAAACCTTAGTTCTGAAAATCTAGAAGAACTCTTTGATAGGGAATTCCCAGTCGAAAACAAAGGGGGTACAAAACTGACAGAAAATAAAGCCGTGGAAGGCGAAACAATGGGTACCTTAGAGAGAAGAATCATGGAGCTTGAACGGGAATTAGAAACACAGAAACTGTTAAAGGAGAAATATGAAAAAGATGTCCATGATCTGCTCAAAGACATCGTTGACCTCAAAATGCAGCAGGTGGACGGCGATTCGAAAAACCTGGAAGAGAAGCGGAGAGAGATACAAGAAGAGGTCGATCTGAAGCAGGATAACAAGCGGTTGCATGAAGAATTGGAAGATGAAAAGCAGAGGCGATTGTCCATGGAAAAAATCAAAGGCGATTTGTCAGAAAAGTTAGACAGTCTGATCAAAGAAAATGAGTTGCTTCGCAAAAAGCAGAGCGATGCTCAGAATGTGTCCGAAAATGAACGCGCTGAGGAAATCTGTCACATTGGTGAGACAGAAATGGCTAGCGATTACAATATTTCCCAAATTGATTTAGATCAAAACGACGAGAAGGAAACTGACAGCCGTGCGTTTACAGAATCAAATGACCTGGAACTTATTTCACTACAAAGGCTTACTCCAGAGTCGCCCGTGAGTATCGAGCACCCTGTCGAGTTGTTGGTTGACACCGAAAGACACCCACTTGAAGACAAAGTAATAAAAGTAGAGTTGCCAGAGTATATGGATACCTTAAATCCTGACTTTGTGAAAAGCCTTTTAGGAAACGACTTTCAATTGGACGAGTCAGGGAGTGTCTGCGAAATATCAGACTCGAAAACGAAAGAAAGTAAAGGCGAGTTTAGGGGAGGAGAAAAAATCGAGACCTTTGAGAAAAAGATAAAAGAGCTTGAACAGGAACTACGAAACGAAAAACGTCTGAAGGAGAAATATGAAAAGGATATTCAGGATCTGTTGCACGACATTGTCGATCTAAAAATGAAAGAAGCGGAAAACGACGAAGAAAGCCCTTCTGAGACGCGAACCAAGATACGGGAAGATGTCGAACTAAGCCTGAATAATAAGCGGCTGCAAGAAGATTTAGCCAAAGAAAGAAAAAGAAGGCTATCCATCGAAGAAAGCAAACGGGATTTGCTAGACGAGGTGGACACTTTAATGAGAGAAAGGGAGGTATTTCTTCAACAGCAGAATGAGACAAAAATGGACGGGAAACTAGTGGAGGAGATGATCAGTTTAAGAAAGAAAATTGGAGAGCTGGTTACAAAGAACAAAAATTTAAACAAAGAAGTCGAAGAACTCAGAGAATCAATAAAGGAAATGGAAGTATGCCACGAAGAGGAGAAAAGTCGGCTGCTGATGAATTTCGAGACAGAAAAGTCCGCTATGATGGACGAGCTAGTGACGTCAAAAAGCGAGCTTGAAAACCAGTTACAAGAGTTACTTGCAATGAATGACGATCTTAAAAGAACCATCAAAAGTCTTCTAGAGGAGCTAAAGGAATCAAATGAAAAGCTAGTAACAGAAGGAGAGAAACATGACAAAAAGTTATGCGAGGAGATCAAACAGCACCATGCAGAGCAAGTCGGAGCAGCATTGCTAGAAGAAGTAGGAGAAAAGGATACAAATGCAGCCCACGAAAGAATGAAAACCGGAAACTTAAAAGAACAACTCGATGAGACGGAAAATGCCCTGCAACAAACGTTAAAAAGGTACCAAGGAGAAATTACGTCTTTGGAGACAGAAAGAGTTAAGAGCGACGATGAATTACGACAAGAAATCGAGATTTTGAGAAACAAGCTTGAACTGTCGAAAGACTCAGCCGAGCAGCAAAGAAAAGATTTTGAAAACGTTCTTGCAAAAGAAAAAGAACGCATAAAGGATGAATTGGAATTAGAACTAGCACGGGAGAAGAGGAGACTGAAACTTGACTTTGAAGATAGAGAAGACACTTATGGCAGAGAAATAAAAAAGCATTCAACAGATCTCCAAGAGCAAGAAGAGAAGTGGAATAAAGAAAGAGAGGAAATGCAAGAACTCTTCCGCGTAGAAAAAGAGAAATTACAGAAAGCTTTTGACGAAGAACTAAGAAGTAAAATGGCCGAGAAAGAAGAGCAAAACAGACGATCAAACGAGCAGATAAACCGTGAGTTTGAGAAAGAAAAAATGGAGATCAAGGCAACCATCGAGAAAAAGATTTACGAGCAGCTAATTGACAAAAATATTGCAGCGGAAACAGACTTTCGTGATGTCCTTTCCAAAATCCTACAAGAACATTCTAAAGAAATCGAGGGGGTAGAGGACGATATACGAAAAGCCGAGGAAAGGTTTCAAAAAGACAGAAACAGGCTAATTGAGCAAACTGATAAGGAGAAAGAGGCTTTAAAGAAGACCCACGAAGAAGAAAAGAGAGCCCTGGAATCAGCTGTTCAAAACCTGCTGAAAGAGGTCGTAAAACTGAAGCATCAAAGAAAAGAAATGCGGATGATTCACAAGAAGGAGAAAGAGAGCCTTGAGGAAATTTATGAGCGAGATCGAGTAAAGCTTAAAGAAGACTGGGATAGGTACAAGGAGGATTTACTAAGGAAAGTACAAGGTGAATTTGACTGCAAATTAGAAAATGAGACCACAAAACTTGAAACTAGGTTAGAAGATATGAAACGAGAGATGCAAAAGTCAGCGCAGAGAGCACAAGAGCTGGAGGCTACTTTGAGAGGAATACCTCGTGAAAATGAGCAACGAGTATCAGACGGAGATTATAGTCAAGGAATAGTGGTGAAAGAAAGTGAAGAACAGTTGAAAGAAATAAAGTCAGCGAAGAAAAAACTTGAAGAGGAATACGAGAAGAAGCTCAAGGCAGAGAAACGAAGGTTTGAAGATACACTGCAAGCTCTACGGCGTGAGATTGGAAGCTTGCAAGAAAAGAGAAGACTTATCCAAGACAAGCTTTACAACCAAGATCCATCTGTTGTGGACAGACATGTTATGGAAAAAAGTCTGGCGAATTTCAAAATGGAGATGCTTTCTAAAATGGAGGAAGAAGTATCACAAAAGATCGCGCGCGAGAAAAAACCACTCGAAGAAACAATAAGAGAGCTTCAAGATGAGAATGAAGAACTTAAAAGGCAAAGATGGGAGCTAAGAAACCAGCTTAGGAGGGAGCGATCTAAGTTAGAGGAACAGTTCGAACAGGAGAGAGAAAAAATGGAAAGGCAATTCTTAAAAGAAAAAGAGGAATTGAAGAACAAGTTGGAAGTTAGGATACAAAGAGAAATGACAAAGAGAACATTGGAAGAGAAAGTCACAAGAGCCCTCAGTCCAAGTTCGAACGTAAGTTTCATGAAGTTGATTCAAAACTGTAAGGCTCCCATGCATTGCTAACCGTGTCACAAACATATCATAACTCACTTCATATACCCGCGTTCAACGTGTTGGTATCACTTAAATATCTTGTTTCAAAGTTTGAATACTTTCTTCCCCAGTTTAGATTTTCGTGTCTTTGGCCAGTCTCGACTATTCTTGACTACATGCGGGTGTAGGCTAATGTTATATGTTTTGTGAATTACGGAGTAAAGTTCTGAAGCTGAAGAAATCGATGGAACACACTCTGAAAATTAAATGTTTTTCCATTTCTATAATAGGAGTCCCCATACAGTTCACAAGAATCACCTAGAAGACTGAGATCAGAAAACATGACCTTAAGAGACGATAAACATCGTCTAGAGTTAGAAGTGAGGCAACTTACCAGCAAACTTGAAAATCTTGAATCAAGCTTCCAAGAAATGATGTCTTCTGAAAAGGAAAAGGTATGTTAGAATTAAAGACGCCTGTAAGAATTGGAAATTAAATCAGATAAAAAACATTTCTATCACTTACCAAAAAACAATCAAATTAAAAAAAAATATCGCGCAATTGAAGTTTCATTTTCTCATATTCCTCAAAATGAGCATTCTTCCATTGAGGTTGGATTTATGAATGACACCGAAATTCAATACGAAAATTCTAAACGTTTTAGACTTGACGTCGTATGAGAGCTAGACACAGCTTTCGTTCCATTTGGAAGTAAATTTACGTTCTATAAATTTGTTCATCTTTTAGGTTGAAAAAATGAGGAGGATTCAAGCAAAAATGCCCAAGAAGGTAACTAAGATGTAAGAAATCCCGATAATTTAACATGATATGAGACCAAATGACGTAATCCCGCGTGACTGATCAAAAAGACCATTCAGTAACAGACTAAATCATAATTCGAGGATTTTGACTCAATACAAGGATAGTTCCTTAATTTACCCAATGGCTTCAGTGGTTTTAGTGAAAAAGTGTAACTAGAATCGTTCCATAACACATGAGTAGAACTATTCACCTGTCACTCTGGTTTAACAAGGGTTGCTCGAAAAATAGTTGGCGCAGGATATTTACTTTGGTTATAACCAGAGTTAAGCCAAATTTAAACTAAAATTTCTTTGTTCGAAAAGTGTAACTGGTGGTTATAAGGTAATGAAGGAGTTTGACGCGGAGAACTAATTCGGCTCATATAGAATGAAATGCCATATTTTGACAGTTGTCTGACATTTTTATCCTTAAGCGTGCACTGACCGCCTATTTAAGCACCTGAGCTCAGATACATTCAGATACACCAGTGAAATTGCAGTATGTGCCTGCCCATCCTTTTGATAAAATTTCATCAGTGAGTAGCACTTTCTGGCATTGAACATCCGAAGGATATCAATAGGAGGCGCTTAATCGATAGCTGACCGGAAACCTGAAACAAGCGCATGCGATGGAACCCAATCAGTTATAAAAGAAAACGTTTCTCCTACAACCTCAGACAAAATAGTTAGAACCCTTAGTTGATTATCCCGACCCCACCATTACAAATTTGCATATCGCTTGTGCTTTGCGAAAGAGCGCCCTAAAAGGCAGGGGCGAGAGGTCTGCACTGTTTAGGTTATCTAAGAAAATCAGAAGTTTCCAAAGGATGTTTGACCGAAGCTGTAGAACTTAGAGAAACTGAATTATGTTCTGACCGCATGGGAAACCTGTTGTTAACAACCTTCATTTTTATCCACAGGTCACCTTCTCAGAAGAAGTAGAGACCAGAAGCATGGACTATCCCGCAGGTGACCAGAGCGAGACTATACTTCAGGAACTACGAGAAAGGGACAGTCAAGTTAGAGAACTCTTGGAGGCTAAATACTTTTATGAAGAGGTTCTCTCTGAACTCTGTGAGGAGGCTGGACTCTTTGAACTTGATCAAAACGAAATTATCTAGACTTAGATAATGCCAGGAAACAAGAGTCATTGTTCTGCCCACCGCAACCTATAATTATGTGTATACTTTTTAGTCCGTTTTGTCATACGTGTGTTCACTTTGATAAAATAATAAGGTTAAAACAACAACAACAACACCAAACAAACAAAGAAATTGAACTACACTGTAGGAATAGAAAATCCCAAAAACACAAGCAAAAACAAACAAACAAAAAGAATCCGTAAAGAAGGCAAATACAGTTGTAAGTGCACAGCAGCGGGAGTAAATGGGCGACAATAAGGTAATTGAGTTGTATGAGCATGTCGATTTAATTTCATTTAATTAGCGCAAAAGACTTTCACAGAACGATAAACTAATTAAGTTGAGTAAAAACAATTGCAAATGGTTTGCACAAATATTTGGCTTTTTCCCCTGTAACAAACTGCAAACAAACTACTTTATATTTTGCGGACATTTATTAAATACATTATGTTCTATGTACATGTACACATGTCTAAAATAATTACGTATGATCGCAATGCAGGCATAGTTTTGGGCGGGCGAAAGATGATTTTTATTGTAGACGCCGCCCTTTTTGTAACAACACTTAGGGTAGGCGTTAGTTGCAACTCCCCATCCATTTCTTGGGGGTATTTAACACGGAGCGCGCACAAGCCCCGAAGTAAACAACTTCAATACAGGCTTGGTTTCACCGAAACCTTGACGACACGCCAAATAGGATTTTTAAATTGCCTAATGGACATTGTTAAGGTAATATACTCAAACCTTAAGGGGGCTTTGAATCGCAATGCATGAATTGGATACGAAAATGGAAGTTAACGTTTTTTCAGCCATATAAAGGCCTTTTTATACATTAATTGTAAATTACCAGTTTCCCAGTTACTCGAGCCTTTTTGATAACACTATACCAGTAGCTTCAACAGATTTAAAGTGGTATTGCTGATAACGAGACTTAAACTATGAAACTCAAGGGATAAAATTTAAAAGAAAGTGACAAAAACACTTTATTATATAGATACTGATAAAATACCAGGATTTTTCCTTGTACTAAAAAAATCATATCTTCATCGCGCGCAGTGAAGATACTATTTTTATTTTTCACGTGTGAGGATATTGGTGTCACGATGGTTACTAACATGATTAGCCAATTACAGGAGAGCTTCCCGCTCAGGCGCTTTTGTGTTTTATGTAGGAATTTTATCAGTATCTATAAAATATTCAGAACATTACATGGCCGCTTGGGGATACGAATTTTATCTTCTCGTGCTGAAAGTATCTCTCACTCTTTCACTTCGCTCACTCGTGAGAGATACTTTCAGCACTCGAACATACAATTCGTATCCCCGCGTGGCCATGTAATATCCTCTGTGTAAATACCTTCTAATTAACTAAATGCAAATGACAGAATTAGAAGCAAATATGTTTAGGCAAGATGTGCTCACACAAGCAAAAATATTCAGACCGTTTTGTAGTTTAGAAAAGATTTTTGTAAATTAAGTTAAAATAAAGAAAAAAGTTGAAATAAAGAAAAAAGGTGTCAAAGTAAACCATTAAAAACTCTAAATATGCCTTATTGATCACCACACTTTAAGTCCAGGAATTACGGTATGGCTTAATTCTGCGCACAATTTCATGTGTCTTGGAGTGGAGTTAAGTGGACAAAAAAGGGAAAGAAAAGGGAAAATCACATAAAATCACAAGAGACACAATCATCTCTTGCCTTGCAGAGACATTTTCAATCCTAACAGTACAAATTTATTGATCTTAATCTCCTTATAACAGAAAACAAGTGGCATTTTTGAACATAGCAACAGCACTAAACAGGTCAACTATTGAGTTAAGTTAACGCTTTTTCCGTTGTATATCGCTTGAAGTTTCTTCTTCTCTACCTCTTCAGACTAACTTGTTGAGACACGTCACAAAAATACCTATTTGTAATCCTGACAAAATGCACACAACTAATTGTTCTAACTGTCGTTATAAGGGAAAAAGAGTGGCATTTATTAACACGGCGACAGCAATAAATCGGCAATCTAAGACCTATAGTTTTGGTAAGGTTTACGCTTTGCCGTTAAGCATCTATTGAAGGTTCTTCTCGCACCCTCTTCAGACTACTTCCTCGGGCAGAACTTATTAATACACATCACAAAAAGGCTATTGACAAAAACGCACACTGGCACCACGTTGGCATTTAGACCGAAAAAACAATAACTAGAGGTTGGGGAGGTGGGGAGCTTACTTAGCTCTGTTCAGAGAAGATAACAGTCTGTTGTAAATTTGAAAATGGATGGAGGTTTAGTTTTCCACTCTCGCTACAGTTCATGAGTTCACCCAGTCCTTTTAAAATATTTTCGATCCAAAGCTTGTTCTACGGTCAATCCAATAAGTAAATAAATGATTCCGTTCCTGTAACCCGCTGTTACCAACTGTTGATTGAAATTTTGTCCGCAATAACAGGATCAGAATTTAATCTACAAGGGTTTATTCTAGAAGCAATTTAAGAGCTGTTCTTAGCTGCCACAGGTGACGATAGGATTAAATTCAAGGAGCTCACTACGATCTCGTTCTAAGACGTAAACACTTAAAATGGAAGAAGTCTATAATTTATGGCCTGCAGCTTTGAAAACTTCACGTGATAAGCAATTATCCTTTATTTCAAATCAAGTATTGGCAAGTAATATCAAAACATTAACTGGTGCTACTATGAAACTTTAGACTATATAAGACGAAGTAAGGTTCCGTCATAGAAATAGCAGTCGTTCAACAATCCACGGAAAGATATTTGGTACAAAATGAGGTTGCTTCCGCACTCTTAAGTGTACCCAACCGTATTTTATATTAAAATCGTCCATGGCATGAAAGTTCGGCGGAATTCTACCTGCTGTCGATTATTCTCATTCAATGAGCAGCGAAATATGGACGCTTTTGTATTATTAATTTATAAATAACTGATACCAAATATTAAGAACAAATAGGACGAGTGTACAAGTAACTGCTTCCTTCTTGCGTTTCAATAGAAAATCAAAAGCAATAGTTACACTTTGTGCTGAAGTTAAATCCTCCCTTGACAGTACGTTTCTTCATAACTGTACAGCTAGGACTAAGAGTTATTTAAATTAAAGTAAAGTTATTCCTGGTATTACATAGAGTTGTTAATTTTGACGATCAAAATGTTTTCCTCCTATCCGGAACCTGCAATGTGGGATTAAAATATTAAAACAAATTACCCTCGAACGCTTGTCTTTAGCATAAAAATATAAAACTTATGGAATGGATAACAGGTTAATGTCTTGTGGGATACGCTTGCCAGCATAGCAACGTATAAACATTTTTGCTGGTGGCTGGTGATAGACCGCAAAAACTGTAAATCTTTTTTGTTTGATAGAGGCTTTAAAATGAGGAATGAGTGCTAAGAGCAGATCTAAATTTCGTGTACAATCTACAGTGACAAGGAAGAGGGAACGGTGAGATTAAGCTCGAAACTAGCTTAAAAGTTTCCTCAAAATCAAATCTAAATCTAAATCTAAATCTCCCCCGATGCGAATCTTTGTGTGCGGTTTAAGTGTTTTCAAACAATAGACATAATGATGGATATAAACTTGAAGGTTAATTAACAGAAGAACGCTACTTCTGAAAGGAACTTTCTGGGGAAGTCAAGTTGGATGGACAAATTTCGATAAGAGGAAAATACACCGCTAAAATGACCTCCCAGGAGATTTCATTTTCAGAGGGGGGACAAATTCTGGAGGGTCAGATTGAAATTCAAAATGAAGGATACATTCAGATGACATCTGACGCCATGGCCGTCAATATGGACCCTCAAGTACAATACATCGGCGAACAACAAATGGGCTCCGTAGAAATGAATGGACAGGAAATGCTGATAATGCAAACCGAGGTAAATGGTAAAGAACAGCTAAATATACAAGGCGGAACCTACATGCAGATGACTTCACAAGGAATAGTTATGAACGAGGAGACATGTCAAATGCAATCACAAGATCTTTCTCAACAATTCATGTTCGACGGCCAAATAGGGCAAGGGCAGCAACTGATAATAGGAGAAAATTCTGGTCAAATAGTCGACGGAGGGTTTGAGATCCAGGGCACGTCAATGGAGGGAGATGGAATGATAATACAAGGAGTGGCCGTCGATCAAATACAGACGCAGCAAATGTCTATGCAAGGCGAAGGGATTACCTATCTCGGGGGAGGTGTGGTTGAAGGTGAGCAGTTTCAGCTAAGTGAAATGTCGGCAGGTGAGATGTCACTCGACATTAACGGACAGCAAATGCAGGCACAAGAAATGTCTGTGCAAGGCGAGGGAATGATATATTTGGAGGGGGGTGTAATCGAGGGTGAGCAACCTCAGGGGACTGAGATGATGGGAGAACAAGTACAAATGGAGATGCAAAATCAAGAGATCGGCTTTGCCGAGGGTGGAGAATTTCAGACGAGTGAAATTTCTATTCAAGAAAATGCATTTGTGGAAGGAGGCGGAATTCAAGAAGAGCAGTTTCAGATGAGTAACATGTCCATGACACAGATGCCACTTGAATTGACTGGGCAAGAAATACAGATGCAAGAAATGTCTTTGGAGACTCAAAGTCAAGAGATTGCCATAGGCGAAAGAGCAGAATTCCAGACTAGCGAAATTTCCGTTCAGGAAAGCAGATTTTTGGAGGGAGAAGAAATTCAGGAGCAACAGTTTCAGATGAACGAGACAGCGATATCTGAAATGCCTCTTGAGATGAACGTGGAAGGCATGCAGATTCAAGAAATGCCGTTAGAGATGCCAAGTCAAGAGACTGGCACTGTTGAAGGGGGAAAACTTTTGACAAGTGAAATCTCGGTTCAAGAAGTTGGATTTATGGGAGGCGAAATTCAGGAGCAACAGTTTCAGATGAATGAGATTTCGATGTCTGAAATGCCTCTTGACCAAGGTATAGAGATGCAAGAAATGACAATGCACGAAATGCCACTGGAAATGCAAAGTCAAGAGGTTGGCACTGTTGAAGGAGGAGCACCCCAAACCAGTGAGATGTCAGTCCAGGAAGTTGGATTTACAGAAGGTGGCGAAATTCAGGTGCAACAGCTTCAGGTGAGTGAGACTTCGATGACGGAAATGCCACTCGA